CTAACTCACAAGAAAAGAACAGACTTAGTGGTCTGACAGAGACTGGAAAAACCCAAGAGTATGGTCCCTCGACACGCTTCTAACTCAGTACTGAAGTCACTCCTCATGTTCATCCTTCAGCTAAAGATTAGACACGCTGATAAAACAAAACAAGACTAAATAGGCACATCAACCCAGGGTGAAGGATGAGAAGGCAGGAAGGGACAGAAAAGCTGATAATGAGGAACCCAAGGTCCATCTTAAGAACCTAAAAAAGAGCAAAATAAACCCAAAACAAGCAGAAGGAAGGAAATAATAAAGAACAGAAATCAACGAAATTGAAAACAGAGAAATAGATAAAATCAATGAAATAAAGAGACGGTGATTTGAAAATTTCAATAAATATAATAAACTTCTATAGATACTGACAAAGAGAGAAGACACAAATCACCAATACCAGGAATGAAAGAAAGGTTAACACTTTCATTAAACATTCAAACATTAAAAGGATAACAAGCAAATATTTTTAAAAAAAAAAAAAAACCTCTACACACAGAAACTTGACAACTTGTATGAAATGGACTAAATTCCTCAAAAATAATAAACTACCAAAATCACTCAGAATAAAACTGGTAACCTAGGTAGTTCCATAACAATGAAAGAAATTAAATTCATTGTGGAAAAACTTTGACAAAAAGAAATCTCTAGGCCCAGATGGTTTCATTGGAGAATTCTACCAAACATTTATAGAAGAATTAACACCAATTCTACACAATCTTTTCCAGAAAATAAAAAAGAGCTGCTTCCCAACTCATTTTATAAGGCCAGCATTACCCTGATTGCAAAACCAGACAGACAGTACGAGAAAAAAAACTACAGACCAATATCCCACGTGAACACAAATGCAAACATCCTAAACAAAATATTAACAATCAAATTCAACAATATAGAAAAAGAATTATACATATCAAGTGAGATTAATTCCAGGAATTCAAAGCTGGTTCAATATTTGAAAATCAATCCATCTAATACGTTACATTAATGGTCTAAAGAAGAAAAATCACATAATCATATCAATTGATACAGAAAAGGCATTTGACAAAATTCAACCTCAATTCATGATTAAAAATTCTCAGCAAACCAGAGACTGCATCAGCCTGAGACCAGAAGAACTAGATGGTGCCTGGCTACCACCAATGACCGCCCTGACAGGGAACACAACAGACAATCCCTGACGGAGCAGGAGAAAAGTACAGGGTACAGAATTCAAATTCTAGTAAAAAGACCAGACTTAATGGTCTGACTGAGACTGGAGGAACC